AATATGCTCGAATCAATCAGAGATACGTTCAGAAACAGATTCTTTACTTTACTTAAACCTAATTCCACCAAAAAGGACAGCAGCTATAAATATTTATTTATATCTGCTGACAAATTATTAAACAATAAAATAAAAAATATAATATAGTATAGTACAGTCCGAAAGTTATTTTTAAATAATGGAAAATAATCATAGGCCTGCTGTAATAAGGGATAAACATTGCGGGCTTTAAATCAATTTCCACTCGACCTCATCTGATTCAGTGCCAAGGCGTACGCCAAGGACGTGGGGTGAAAAGGATGCGTAAAGCCGACTTATGACACCAAAATATTTAACTGCTCAATTTTTGGGCATTGTGCTTTTCGCTGCCGGTTGCTGGAGGCGTGCAGAATGCTGGGATATAACAAGGGGTTACACTTGAATTAGTCCAGTGGGATTTCCGGGTGCGTAGGGGTGTGTATGCATGGCGTTTGTTTGTTTGGCATTTGGAACTGGAAGCGGGCACAGCCACAGCACAGTGCCACTTTGTTCTTGTGCAATCACGCAGCAGGACTCTGCATCCGCATTGTATTGGCAACAGTATTGCAACAATTGAGACGTTCAATTGGCAATCCGGAGCAGCAACAACCACTGAGCTACACGGGCAACAAAGGCAACAACAACAACAAGAAGAACCACCGCGAGTCGCTGACACTTCGTCTGTGTGCGCCCGCTGGGCGTGCGATTAGTTTGGGAAGCTGCCTGATGTTGCGCATCCGTAAATTACTATTGCGGTTCGATGTGGTTAGGCGGAGGGTGGCTTCGGCCGGATCAGGGGCAGGGCACATTACAAATCTCCCCAGTTGTGCGTGTTGTTCTTTCTTTGGCATGCACTTGAAATTGTCAGCAGGTGCGGCGCATGCACTGTAACAACATTTACAGATACAACATTTACACCCAGATACATAGATACATAGATACACAGATACGGATAGTTGGGAGTGAAATCAATTTAAGCTGCAGCTGATTGCCATGGAGGTCATGATGCCTTTATGCGTGGACCATTAACAAACATTTCGTCGACTGTTTGTGTAATAAAAATGCAATTGTCATTAAGTGCCGGGAATGTGTCACAACTGCGACGCTTCCGCCATGTCCGCAAAACAATAAAAACTACCAAGGATTGTGCGCCGGTCAAGAGCTTGGATAATGTTGCAAATCGATCATAAATAAATAGTAGTTCCATTGACTTCTCTCGCAAGGCAACAGCTTCAACTGATTTCCATGGAAATGTAAAAATTGCACACAGAATTCACTTCACTAAAAATATGCAACATTATTTAGGTCTAAATTCAATAAATTGTTTAGATTTTGGATTGTTGACAATTTTAATATTTTTCTGATATAAACAAAAAAAAAATGTGCACTTTAAATATTTGAAATATTTCTCTTAAAACTAAGTTGCTTTCAAGAAGAAAGAAATATCTTTAATTATTAAAATAGAAACAAAAGTAATTCAAATACTGATAAAAGTAATATTTTTTACAATATCCTACAAATATTAATTATTGTAAAAAAACTCAAAATATTAAAAAATATAATAATTGTACACTTTCTTCGAGCAGGCGTTCTTTGAAATTGTCTGAACAAAGAACGGCTTGAATTAAACTCAGACGGATCGGATGGCTGTTGTTACACTCGCACATACCTTGCACAAGAATTGGGGATTATTAACACTTATTTTCACAATAAAATTTAATTAAGATCCATTGTCTTATCTTCAGCTACGCTCGGATCGGTGTGCCAGCAGAATTCGATACCAAAAAGAAAAAAAAAGGGTGCAAAGTTGTTGAAAAGTCTTGAGTCATCTCTTCGAATGATCTTCATGTCTGGTCGCCATAATGATGGCGGCAATAAATTCGCATTAAGAACGCGCTATATGGCCGTATAATGGTGCAGATGTTGCGCCCATAACACGATCTTTGACAATGACTTTAAAAACATGAGCCGGACCCTAAATCATGCATGTTGCGTGTTGAGGTTCCGCATCCGATCGCTGATCCTGCCCCGGCTAGGCGCAACCCCAACCTCAATCCCAACTCTAAGTACCTTCGCTAATTGCGCTTAATTCTTTCAAAGAGCCCGCATAGCATAGGCATTACTTGAGGCTTTTTGTTTTATAGTTCGTAAAACATAGTTACGATCCAATAATTTAGATCTTTTAGATCTTCTACGAAGTCTGTGTGAGGTTCGCTGAATCCAGCAAGCAAAGGCAAACTGTGAACTTGGACGGAAGTTGCTGATTTCTCCAGAGTCAATTTGTGACTTGGGATCATTTATGATTGATTGATCATATAACGTTTTATGATCACCTACGCCCGGTCAACGACTCTTTGGGCTTTGCTTTTGCCGTTCGGCAAACGTTTGTTGATTAAATCGCAGGATGTTATCGATCATTGCATAAATTAAACGTTCGATTTGCTTGGCTACCCAAATTACAATCAATTTTTACTGCTGCCGCTGTAATTGCGCATAATGAGTTGCGCCAAGTCTCTAATTCTCTATGACATATGCATAAATCTATCAAACCTCCCAAATGCTGCTGGTTCAAATATTTTCATGAGTTCACAGCGCAAGAGTTTCCCGCTATGCAGACGGTTCGCTTCCATTTGGCTCGATTCGATAAAACTGAAATTGTCATTTGCCAAGCATATGAATAAGAAGTACAAATGCTCGAGTGGCGAGTGGACGACTACGATATACCCTGTGACTTGGTCGAGGCTCTGCCTTACTCTTTTCTACTCATGCATGGGCATATAAGAATTATTTGGAGTTTTGAGTGAGTCGCGAGTGACAGACTACGATATACCCTGTGGCTTGCTCTGAGCTCTGACATATTCTTTCCGAATAAATTGTGCTGACGTTGCCAGCTTTCGCGTTTCCAGATTTATTTTGAATATTGATATATATATTTATTTTTCAAGTATTTAATCAAATATATACTCAAATAAAATTGATATGTATTGAATAAGTTTACATTTCAAAGGAAGAAGCCTCTGAAACATGTATGCTACTTATCCCCTATGCTCATTTCATTTTTACAGGGTATAGAAAAATAGCAAAAAATAGCAAACTGTGTCTTTGCTACACGTGTTGCCAGGTAGACAAATATTTTTTATTGATGAAATTGGTTTTGCCTCGACTCCATTTGCAAAGTAGACAAGTTGCTTCACCAAATTGCAGACTTGGGAATTTGTGCAAGTGTATACATATAAGTGTGGCAAAGCGTCTCTTTGCCCAGCATTCAGCATTATTATTTTTTATTGTCAAATTTGTTTAGAACGAGTACGACACGGCAGCAACATTTGCCCTCGTCTCGTACGTGATACTCAATACCAACCGGTCGTTGGACACTTTGGGGAATACGAGAAGTATTCACACGGCTGCCTTCTGGTAAGGACTCTTTAATCATATGCTCGCATGTTGGAAGTTTGCATATTCAACGAGTATTCGACATTGGACATTCTTATTTGTGCTCCCAAACAATTTCAATTGGCAACAGACTGTCACATCCTTGGACAAAGGAATTGGCAGCTGCCAGGCAGGTGTCATGAATGCGAAAAGAAGGACTCGCACTTATAAATATGTAACCCCTTTCACTGCCAGTTTGACTTGCAATTCTTATCAACTAAATATTAATAAATGCTGCTTGGCAGGAGTCTTTTTCTTAACTACAGTTTGTATAATAGAAGAAAAACCTAACATATGAAACCCTAGCATAAAACTTCCCTATAGCTAATACTTAATAGTTTCTTTTGCTGTTCAAATAATATTTATATTCATCTCTATCTACCTAAGGAGATTCTTTGAATATGTTAAATATTCTCATATATATTTTGCAAAAATTTAGTATTAACATTTACACTAAAATTTCAATATTGAACCCAGGATCTCGGCCAGCTTATCAAATATTTGTATAAGAAATTATATTGAAAGTTTAATAGTAATATTTAAACCAATTTAATAAAATAATAATTGAAACCTATTAAATGATGTAAAAAAAGGCTCTTTGCCCTTTTTCATATATATTGCATTTCTTGGAATTTTTAAATTAAGCGTGGATAGAGGTCTATTACAAGCCCAGCTGAGGGGCAAGTCTTTAAGTCTCTTCAAAATTGTTTATTCCAAATATCCAAAATTAATCAAATTTCTATTAAAAAGTATTTAAAATGGAGTTTCCCCTTTCGATTAGCAGCTTCAGTTGCTAAATCAGCATAAAATTAAGAATTCGACAATTATTTAGTTTTAATTGCTTAATAAATTTAATTTATTGGAAAACATAAAAATACTTAAAGTGTATGTTAGATTTATATGATGTTTTTTATTTTTGTTTTTATGTTTTTTTTTTTTTGAACTTTAAAATGAAAATATATTTATTTAGCATTTGTTTTTACATACATACACACATATGCATAAATAAGTTAAAAATTTATTAATTAGACTAAATTCATTGGAATGATATAATATCAAAATAGCGTTTAAAATTTCACAACTATCTAGAAGCGAACATTTGGAACATTTATGCTTAATATTTTTCGTTTTCTTTTCTTTATTTTTGGTATTTGGTTTTTTATTTAATTACATTTTACACTTAATACACGCACGATTCATGGCCTTGTTTTTTTTTTTTTTGATTTGATTTACTTTTTGCTTTTATTTAAATATTTAATGTGTAGCAGCTAAGAAGATGTATGTATATATATATATATATATATTTCTTGATCAGTAAATTCCATGTAAATTAATCCAAATACAATCATACAAACACACACGCACACACAAACATATCGAATATGCATATATATATAATTTTAATTTACAAAAAAACAATTTTTTTGGAATTTTTATTTATTTATTTTTTTTGTTTAATTTTGAGAATGTGTGTTGTTATTTTTGTAATATTTTTTTTTTCGTTTGCTGTGCGCTGAGAATTAGAGAGAGATAGAGAGAGAGAGAGAGCCTAAGATTTGTTTTTTATTTTGGTTTAACTGTTTCTCTTTGGTATAATGTTGTTTATGGTATGCATCTATTTATGTTTGGCAACACTGGAAATTTCTTTTGCATCTCGGCTTAAACTATTCAAATTTTGTTAACGGCAAATGGAAATGGATGCCGGCGGCCAATTGTGTCGGCAGCTATTGCACAATGATTCCGATTGTTTGGGACTGGGCTATGCGGTACTGGACCTGGTAATGCAACTGGCGCTGGCTGCTGCTCCCGCTGCTGCAGTTGTTGCTGTTATGCCAGCAGCGAGACCTTCTGGCAATTCATCGAGCTAACCGGCGTGGAGGTATTCGCTGGCGCTGACGGCGCCGTCTGCGTTGATATGGGCAGGCCGATGCCCGGTCCGGGTCCGGGTCCGGCGCCCAGTTCGGCAGCTGCGGCTGCGGCCGACATGAAGTCCACCTTGCCCAGATGTACGCGCAGATCTGTGTGCTGTGTCTCCTTGTGGCGTCGCAGATCCACCTTGCGCTGGAAGGACTTGTGGCATAGCTTGCAGGAGAAGGGCTTGTAGCCTGTGTGCTTGCGGGAGTGCGTTATCAGGTTGGAGCTCTGGCTGAACGCCTTGCCGCACACCTGACACTTGTGCGGTTTCTCGCCTGCAATAACACAGAGAGAGAGAGAGAGAGGGGGGAAGTGAGACAGAGTTAGATAGTTAACACTAAAATCGATAGGCGTTTGCATTTTGCATGCTGTCCTTGCAACCAGTGCGCGCCATTTTACGGCAGCGACGAGACGAGCTTTGCTTTCATGGCCGTTGCCAGAACCAACCCACACCCCCTTTTATCGACCCCCCTCAAAAAATAAGTGATACACCCACACGTACTCACAAGTGCACGCAACCCCCGAAAAATTGTCTGAGCTGCGCTGAGTCAGACCATCCCCCACACAGCCCCGCAGACAACCTCAGGCTCTAGACCTCGTCATCATCTCCGTATGGCAGCAATGGCGTCGACCGCAGCAACGAGCTCCCCTCTGGCCCCCTTTGCCCTGCTCATGGAGCGGTTGCCGGCTCCTGCTCCACATTGAGTTTTTAAATTTCAACTTTCTGGTTCATCTGTGTGGTGTTTGCGGTTTGGCACTTAAAGGCAGCCACAATAAAAATGTACAAAATGCTAAAAGAATTTCTATGGCCATTTTAAAGCATTTTAACTTCAAGTTTTTTTGTTGATTCTGCTCTTTTTTTTTATTTTTTATTACATTTATAGCGTTTTTTAAGACTGTTTAATTTTTCATTAGAGATTTGTTCTCGTATTTTGTGCGCTTGTTCCCACCCTAATTGAGGTGTTTTATTTTGCTCGGCGGCGCCATTTCAGATTTGATTCGCAGTTATCAAAGTCGGAAATATATTAAAAACTTCTTTATATAATAAAATGCCTGCATCTGTAATTATCTAATCGCTTGTGTAGAGAAGATATTTTTAAATTATGAGCTATCCATATATTCAAGATAATCATTGTAAAAGAAATATATGATACCTATTGTTCGACTCCTCGAACATTTCGTAGACCGATTCCACAAACATAACCTACACTATATAGTATATTAATACCTTCTCACATCTGATATATCAAAGCAACACTGAGAAAAACCAACGAAATTAGAAATTAAGAGTTAGAACCCACGAATAAATTAATACGCTTTTATATAAATATTTATTTATATAAGAGGAAAACCTATACATGCATACTATATGGTATATCTATACTTCTTTGATATCTAAACACTACACTTAGAGAATTAGAATTAGAATAATCAATTAAGTTTTTACATGGTAAAGACTTGATTTTGAACAACGTTGAATACTTAAAAAAAAAAAATAATTTGCCCTTAGATATTGGGAAATACTTTGGAAAATATTAGAGTTTAACGCATGTTTTCTTTTCTCGCAGTGTATCTAAATGTTTTATTTTTTTACTGTAAATCAGGACATATGGCAAATAGCTGACTGCCCACAGTCTACTCATATAATTTGACCAGTTTGTCTATATTATTTTATTTTTATTTTTATGATGGTTGCACACAAAAATGTGCGCTTATCTATGGAACCTATACACTTTGGCCAGCAGAGATAATGCTCCAGACAGCGCTACATATATGCCCAGATACACACACACACACACACACACACACACACACAGAGACACACATACTATGACTACAAAATAACGACAAAATGCTAACTTGAGTTAAATTTGCGAGGGGCTGCGACTTGGGCATGGAAAACCAGAACAATGTATATAAAGTAAACACACGCGCGCACACATACATAAAATGCCAACACACACACACACAGAAACAGATTTCATATACCATGGTGTATATATGTAGATATATATGTATAGATGAGAAGTGGCAGTCGCTGTAAGTATATAATGGAATTGCAGCGACGTGATTCTGAAACATTCGACCGTTGGGATGTGCTCTGATTCAACTTTAGCTCCCGCGGCAGGAGTCGAAAATGTTGCCTGTGCTTAAGGAGCAGCAGCAGGAGCAGCTGTGGCAGCAGCAGCAGTAAAAAATTGAGTAGTCATGCTGTAGTAGCTCTCGGCTGTGACGACTGCTCATCGGCGTGCTCGTCCTCACGGAGCATGCTTTGTGAACAGCTCGAGCTGAAGGGTTTCTGGTTCAGAGGCTGGCTCGGGGCACGTTCGTGCACTATCGGCACAAATAACGTCACGTAGTCGCAGAGATTATAGAGCAGCTTTTATTATTTATCACGGCAAACGAGCAACGAACACTAACGAGACCCAAATCCAAATCCCGTCGGCCGTCGGCCGTCGGCTGTTGCCAATGTGGGAGCTGCTGTTTCTCAGAGCTGCCACATGCTAAGGGCATGGTTAGTCTGGGCGAAGGTGGGAGGGGCGGTGGGAGTAGCTCTGGTTGGAGCTGCCTGGCTGCTCTAACTAACACGCTCAGTGCCCAAGCTAAGGGCATACATAGCCCGGGCCCTGCTGCTAAGAGTTTGGGTGCGGGGGCAGCGGGACAACGGAACAGCGGGGGTGGGTTAGGGGGCGCCAGTTTTTGTATGTACAGATTTCAAGGATTTTTATTGCATCACATTGTGGAAATTCTTTTAAATCTTTGCTTGCTTCTGCGCTGCTTTTTCTTTTACTCTTCTAATATTTTATGTCTGTGCAATTGTCTGTGTGTGCGTGTGTGTGAGTGTGTGTGTGTTTGTGTGTGTTTCTGTCTTAGAAGGATGCTTGGCAAATCCTTTCAATTCAACACGTTTTATATTTCGCTTTGCTTTGCCTTTTAACATTTTCTGTTTCTTTTCGTGAACTCTAACAAAATAACGCATACGCAGCGTGAGCCACGCAGACAAAAATAAAATGAAATAAAATGATTTTTAGTCTTAAACGCAACGCATAGAATCAGATTTTATATTTTTGGAATGCGTTGAGATTTGATTTGCTTTTTATGCTCCCGATACATTTACATTTTTGAATTTGAAGCGAGCTTGAATCAAATGAAATAATGGATTGAAATGTAGCGAATAGATTTAATTTTGTTTCGTCAAAATAATTTTGAAGATATTTAAGAAAAGTATGGATGTTTTTTCATAAAAGAAAGCGATGAAATGTCTAAAATAATAAAGTTTGAATAAACAGCTTTAAGATTCTATCATATTGCGTTTCTTTAAAATATCCCAGCTTTAGGTTATCGATTTGTTTACCAGCCTTGATGGAATCAAAGGTGTTTGAAGTTCGAAATGAATAAGTAAATAAGTTAACAAATACACACACACACACACATGCACACACACACACACACACACACACACACACTCGATTATAGAAAATTTATTTGCTTCGCTTTTATAGCGCATAAATTTACAAACGAAAATCTGAGGCAGGAAAATAAAAAATGGAAATGCGAGCTAAACACAAAACGGATATAAAAACGTAGCCAAGCGTAAATGCGGAAATGGAAAACAACAGACAGAGAAATGTTGAGGCAAATCACATCAATGTGAAAAAAATCTGCTGGCCCCCGCTTATTGCTAGCAATAGAAACACGTCGCCCGAACATGAAACAGTCGGAAAAAAGTAAACAAACTGAGTAATAGGAGAAAAAAAACATGGAGAAAAATTAAGGATGGTCGTAAAGCGCAGCAGAAGCACGCACACAAATCGGACAGGGAAACAAGAAAGTAAACTAAGCCAGCGAAAAGCCAAAGACTGAAGCAAATCCCGAGACATACAGGATCCGTTATCATATACCTTGCCCCATGTGTGTGAAAGCAACACGAATCAGACAACAGAACGGGCGGGGGAAGGGCAACCAAAAGGGGGTGTGTTGTGGGGCACACGTCTTAAATCGAAGACGCCGAACGATAAAAATGTCTGAAATATTTGCGTCTGTGTGTGTCGCCTTCCACTGATTTGGCCAGACGACGCTCGCTGAAAACGGGGGCTGCAAATTGGGCGACGGGGTTGATGGGTGTGGCCAGATGGGGTTCTGAGCGCGGCGCTGCTTATTAGAAGGTTATTATCCTTGCAATTTGCCAACTGATTTGAGGGCAACAAAATATTGTTATCAAGAAAAGATGATAAGTTGATCTTGAAAGTTGAGGAAAATGCTTGTCCTTAAGCAATTCTTGTGCTGATAATTTTAAAAAATGAATAAATGAGATTGGAAAGCAGCTTTATTTCCTTATAAAAGTAGATTGACAAATCAAATATGCATTAAGAGAAATATTCTAAAATATTTAATTATTAATACAAGAAGTTCTCAAAGAAAAATGTACGAAATATCATATTTCCAAAGTTCCAAAGTTCGTTTCTTCGTATGCACTGAATAATTTTTGCTTTAAATAGAGATGGCGGTCATATATAATCAGTAGAAGTCTACTAACTGGAGAGAGATTAGACTTCCATGAGTAAGAGCCAGAAACTAAATATAGAGGCTCTGGGCGTAATGGCGGCGCAAGAGTGCGCGTCGCGGCGGCAGCGCAGCTGCTACGTTTTCGGGCAGAGCTTTGTTGTTATAGTTATATAGGGGTGTATGCGCAGCGCGCGCACACAGACGCAAATACATGCACGCACACAGTCTCACAGGCGCTGTGTCGGCAAGTGCATGCGTCAATGTGTGCGTCGTATTTGTGTATTCGTGTGTGTGTGCGCGCGTATAAAACAGAAAATCAAAATCTCTTGACTAAATTTTTCATTGGTCGGCTGTGATTTCTCTGCCCGCGTCGCTTGTCGCTTGTCGCTGGCACACTAGCTCGCTCTCTTTCGCGCTTCAAGGCGTAGTCTAGGTCTGCCTGTGTGTGTGTGTGTGTGTGTGTGTGTGTGTGTTGTGTATTGTATGTGTCGTTGTCTTTCCAATGCTTCTCCCAAGCTTTGTACATAGCCCGACGTCAATGCTGGTCCTCACTGCTGCCTCTTATCAGTTACATTTTGCCATTGTATATATTTCTCTGTGTCTGGGCGTGAGTGTGTCTGTGTATGTGTGTGCGTGTGTTAGTTGCTCTCTTGCTGTTTTCGGAGAGCAAGCGCTTTTATAGTTGGCGCTCTTTTCAGCTGTTTCTGCGCTTTCCTATCGCCGTCGTCAGCTTCATTTTTGTAGTACCCAATTCCCTTGCACCTCCCCTTCGCTCGGCACCCTATAAACTCGATGTTCTGTCAACTGGCAACTGTAACTGTAACTGTAACTGTAATTGGAACTGCGACTGTGGCTTTAGCTGGCGGTTGGTTCGACGCTTTAATGGCGCCCGTTTCCGGTTCCCATTTTCGCCATTTGGGTTTATCGCTGACATTCTCCAAAAATTGCAAATATCTTGTCTTCATATGTATGTATGTATGTGTGTAAGTACATATATGCATTTGTGTACAATACACAAGTGCATATGTGTATGTATATAGATGTGTGCACATATGTATGTATAATTCTATGCAGTAGCAGTAACGACAAGATATCCCAGTTTCTTGATTACCATAACATTATGGTAACATACTCAATATTATTCATTTCTAAATATCAACTAAAAATTTGTAAGATTTATGAAAACTATTATCTATATATTAGGGACTTTGAAAATATGAAAATTTACTAAGCATTTTATTTATGGGCCTAATATCAAAATCTTTAATATAGGAAGCACAAGATATACAAGGTATTTTTATTGATTTGATGCCTCTTAAACAATATGCATTGCACTTATTATTGACCTACATATATACATATATGGAGGGTTATATATGCATCTATACGCTAGTATTCATAAACTTCTAGTGTTTAGTTTCTATATACCTTAAATAAATTTATTTTTATCAATATCCTCATCATATAGCACTTCCTATTATATCTATCGTGTGGCAAACTCGACCCTATTTTACAATAAGATCCATAAATTGTCATAATAACAGTCGTAGCCTCTATAAACAATTTTCTATTCTCGAGGTTGCAGGCAGTTATGCTTTTCCATTATTTAAGACCCAGCTATGCAGATATTTAAGTTAGGATAAAAAGTAACTTACCCGTGTGGATGTAGGTGTGCTTCTTCATATCACTCTTTTGATGGAATCGCTTGCCGCAGTAGCTGCAGGGATAAGGCCTCGTGTCGCTGTGGATGAGCAGATGGGTGGAGAGGGTGCTGGAGCGCTTGAAGCGTTTGCCGCACTGTTTGCACTCGAAGACCTTTTCCACGTTGTGCACCGCCCTGTGTGGAAAAAGAGGTACCGTTAAACGACATGCAGCATAAAATGCTGGCGGCTATTTGGTGTAATTAAAGCCAAGCTCGAATTCCCTGGAGCGGCTGCTGAATGCTAAATACAACCGCAAAGCAAACATTTGGCCAGGCTAAATCCAACATTTCAGCTAAATTAAGTAACGCAAAACTGTCCCCGGCCGGACCCGGCCGCTCATTAAGCATGCAAAGTGCCCTCCCCACCCCCTCCCCAATGAGGGGCGTGGTCAGCAGAGTATGCGGAGGGACTTTGTAGTGAACCTGGCCAAATGCTTGTGGCCAAGTGCTTTACATACCTGTGCTGGCTAAGGCTGACCTCATGTCCAAAGGTCTTGTTGCACAGCTCGCAGGCGTAGGGCTTCTTGCCGTGGTGGGTGCGGCGCGAGTGCACCTCGAGTCCGTGCGGCGTGGAGAACATTTTCTCGCACTTCATGCACGAGTACAGGTCGCTAAATTGATGCAGGCCCGGCCACTTGGCGGCCATGTGATGGAAGTGCAGATGCGGCTGATGCGGCAGACCCAAATGCCCGCCGCCCGGTGGCACGCCTACGCCAACGCCCACACCGACGGCCGCCGCTGCCGCTGCCGCCGCGGCAGCCGCAGTGGAGCCATTCTGGCCAGCAGACTGGAGTGGCACCATCAGGCTGCGCAGTCGGAAGAGATTTTCCTGCGAGTCCGGATGGTAGCTGCGCAGGAGCAAGCGAGAAAGATAGAGAGAAACAGAGAGAATTAGCTTAAGTACGCACTTAATTAAGGCAACTCAATACGGACAGAGTGTGAAGTCAAGTACACTGAGAGAAATGCAATCGTTCAGTGTGTTAAAAATATAATATGTTATTATTTGATAAGAAGAAATTAAAAAGGCTCTATTTAACAGTTTCTGATAAACATTTTTAACATTTTGTTTTTAATAATGAAAATTATTTAAAAATATTTTGAAATTTGATTTTAACTGTGTGTGAAGTACACCTTGAGAAATTCATTTGACTTTAAAGCAGAAGATTTGATTAGATTGATTTTAAAATGAAACTCACCTTGCGACTAGTCCGGATTGCTGTTGTTGCTGCTGCTGCTGTCCCTGGTGAAAGGCAATCGCGGCAAAGAAGGGCAGCGCCGGGGAGAAGATGGGGCGCTGGAACATGGCCGCATCATAGTTGGGCGGGTAGCTCTGGCGCATGGCCTCCAGCGGATTGGGCAGCGCCAGCGCTGCAGTCGAGGCGCCAACCAGGCCAAGCGGTGGGCTACGTGCGCGGCGCGTTGTCGGCTCGTCGCGACGCAACAGCGCGGAGACGGAGAACAAATCGGATTTCTTGGCGCTGCTATTGCTGTTGGCCGTGATTAGCAGCTCGGAGGCGGAAACGGAGGCGGCACTGGGCGAACTCATGCTGGGACTGCCGGGCGGCGAGTCCACCTCCAGCTCCACGGACGAGCTGCTCGAATGTGATCTGGATCTGGAGCGGGAACGGGAGCGAGAGCGCGAGTGCAGCGAACGACGCGAATGCCGCGAGTAGCGCTCGTGACTGCTGTCCGCATCGTCCATGTCGATCTGCGAGGAGCAGTGCGAGGCGCTGCGCGATCGTGATCTCGATCGGGAGCGCGACTGCCGCAGCTGTTCGCTGGCGCTCAGATAAGGCAGCAGCTTGGGACGCTGCAGTTGCTGCTGCTGCTGCTGATGCTGCTGATGCTGCTGCTGTTGGTTCTTGCTCAGCATCGAGATGGAATTGTTGTTGTCCTCCGCCAAGGCGACGCTGTGCGCCGACAGCGGCGGTGGCTTCAGGCCCGCGGCTGCCACAATTGCCGTCAGGTGTTCAGTCTTGACCAATCTGCTTATGCTAAAGGGGTGCGATGCATCTACAATATGAGAGACGGGGGAGAAGGGAAGTGAGCTATTAGCGAAATCAGAGCACAGAGCAGCACATCATCAATCACACACACACACACACGCACACACATATGCACCTGTATTACACACAAGCACACACACACACACGCACACACACATCGGCTGACAGTTGGCAGCATATCGAATTTCAAATGTAATTATTTTCGTATTCAATCGCCTAATCCACCTTACATGACCATTAATTCACCCTAATCAGGCGCACAGCATAAGGCACGGCAGCAGGAGCAGCATTCGACGATATTACCAATGCCGCCCCGTTCCGCATTTGACATCAACGGGTCGTCATCATCAACAATCGTGTTGGTCGAGAGCGACTGTGTCACCCAGTGTATAACGCCCAGGGTGCGTGCCACCCGACAAATTGAAACAAATCAAATTCCTTTTTGGTGATATCAGAGCAAAGTTGACACAAAATTTAAGAGGTACTTTCTATACAATTGAATATCTGATATAAGCTTTGATAATTTTATTCAACACAGGTTGCTTAAAATAAAAGTTGCCTGTCTATAAAAAAATAATGTCTCAATAAAATACTGTATCTGATATACTTAGGTATCAAACATTTAAAAATAAGACACAAGAGGATAGAACATAAAAATAGACAAAAAAGTGATCTTTCAAGTCCATAAGATCTCACTAAACAAAAAACAAAACAATGTTTCGTTTCCAACGAAGAATAACATAATTTACAAAGCTAAAACTTATTCGAAATTATTCCGACTCTTGATTCTCTTATACGAAAACGTTTGTCGACACTTTTGTGTGGTGCGCACAAGAAAGGCATGGCAGCCTCAGATTCGCCTGTCGAAATGGAATAATAATAATGTGCGTTTAAATAGAACATCTGTTCGGTCCGCACTCGGGTAAATGGAGCATGACAAAACAGAAAACACACAAACAGGCAGACATATTGAGGATTGAGACGACGACTACGCCTGGCGGCTGGCGACTGGCGACACTCGTGGGTTAACGCAGGCGCAAAGGAAAGGGGTAAGGCCCGTGGCAGGGGCAGGGGCAGGGGCAGGGGCAGGGGCAGGGGTAGCTTAGCCACGGGCCTGAGCGAATCCGAATCGAATGAATGAATACGCATCGCAACAAAAGAATAACAATTTGACAACATTCTAATTCGCCACGCAGATAAAAGTGACTGCGTAGGCACAGGGGCTTCTTCGGAGGTGGGGTGGGCAGATGACGGTAGAGAGGGGGCGAATTTGATGATGCGGCTTTGATTGTGGCAGCCAGTGAGGCGGCAAACGCAAAGCCAAATAAATATAAACAAACCCACGCGCAAATTGCAAGCACGCATCCGTCAGATACAGATACATTTGCAGCTACTCAGATACTTTACCGCAGACCCGTTTCCATTATTTTTTGGGGGGGTTGGCCTTATGGCGTCAGAGTGTCAAGTGTTTTTATTGCAGCGCCTTTGTTGTTGCGGTTATTGTTCAGTTCGCTTAGCTTTGCTATGTTCTTAAGTGCTTCTCAGGGCAACACTTAACAAAACATTCGGTACCGAAGGCTCTCGAAATTAAACAGAATCGCACAACACTTGCCGGAGCTGGCCGGAAACTCTAAAGAGTAGCTGGTGCTCTGAGAGGTGAAATATCTGTATAATATTTTAATAAGTCAACTCTCTAAATGAAGAGAAAATACTCTAAAATTTGTATCTTTAAGTTTTTACTAAGATATACGTCAAAAGTTTTGTTTCAAAGCAAGATTCATTTAAGGCAAAGATTTATCAATTTATCCTCGCTTATTTTCTACTATTGCAACAGCTTGGCTGAATGTATATGCTTTTAACAGTTTGACATTAACAGAATAATAACATTTGTTTCTTTAACATATTCTGGTATTTTAAAGTCTTTATAAAAATACAAAAAGATAATTTCCTTATATAATTATAAATAATTCTCTATTTAATTCAAGTCTTTTCATTTGCCAATTCTCAGCAGGTTTTTTTGTATCTAGTTCCTCAATACATTAATATTCTAGCGAAAAAAAAAAAAAGAAATAAATAAAAGAATCATATATATAAGGAAACCTGACCCCAGCTGGGCATAAAACAGGCAAATTTTAATCATCGCCATTACAGTAAATGTCAATTGCAAACCCTTTATTCTAATTATGCACACAATTGTCCCGGGAGCATTAACATTTTCGCGCCCATTCTGACCACCCAGCAGCCCAAGCACCCACAAGACCTGAATACCCGACAGCCAAACGAATTGCATACAACCACCAGCAGGAGCCACACGGCCACCAGCTATGGACCTGGACAGGAAGAGAGAGTAGTACTCAATTTTGCCGAGTTTTGAGTATTGAATGCGAGAATTGGGGAAACGTTTAACGCAGAAAATTGCCGGCAAGTGCCAGTTGGCCAAAAATCAACCCCGGAGACAAGTGGCCCCGGCTCTGGCTCTGGCTGTGGCTCACGTAGGCCGACTTGTTTAAATGATAATAATGAGCTTAAGCATGTGTCCACAGGGTGGCTGTTGCTGTTGCTCCAGCCTGGAGGCTGACAATGTAAACAGACGACACGCAGCAGCAGCAACAACAACAAACCGCCCACGAGCCAACCCCGCCCTCAGTTCCATGTTGCGAACCCTTGGTACACTCGCTAGTAAAGTCATAAATTTGTGCACATTAGACATAGCCGTCGTTCGAGCCCCGTCCGCCCAGCCCACATCGAGTGCAGGACCTCGCATCCTGGGCACAGTCTCGACCCACCCTTCGCACTGCTCATCTGTTTTTATACGCCCGGGAGCAATATTCACGCAATATCCACGCACTTGTGCCCAGCACAAAAAAAAAAAATAGGTAAAATAATTATTCGACACTGCATGGTAATTGAAATCATTGTTATCCTGTTTATACACACCCTACCCCAGCCACGCCCTCGCCATTGTGTATTGCGCCCCCTCCATATCAATTGATGCGCTTATGGCAGGATTATCATTGTTTCGGCCCGACTTTGTTTAGTGGGTGATAATTATTTCAAATGTGCTGTAATCTAATTTATAATTTCGCCGTTTTTCGAAATTTTTGACAATTGTTCGACAGGTGGAATAAAAATGTATGAAATTGAGCACAGCTAATTTCTATTATAATATTTTGCACAATTTTTTAAATATTTTATGCAATCAATTTGTTGCATGTTGAAAATTATAGAAGCTTATAGCTTTTACTCTATTGGACTACCAGAACTATCTGTTAATAGCCCAAACTGAATAAACTTTCGAAGCCCAAAGAAACCTTCTCAGTAGAATACCTCACCCACAACCTCAACCTCAACCTTGCTTCGCTGAGAAACAGACAATGACTAGCTTATGTGATGGCATATTAATTTTAAGTACATTCTTAATAGATTTCTTTTTGCCACTCGATCGATGCATAATTTACAATGCTTGGCACCAAGGTACAATAACGATATCGATTGCCGAGCAAAGCCAATCGATCAAATGCGCGAAAGAACAGTAGTTGGGGGCCGCAAAGTCAATATAAATACTGGTCGTAGTACAATATTATAAAATAGCTGCCTTTCGGCAAATATGAAAGCGAATAATACAAAAAAAAAAAAAAAAGATTCGACGAAACGCGCAGCGAATAAAATAGCGCACAATATAATAAATATAGAGCTTGGGTACCGATATGGCCAAAAGTGGGTGCCATAAAGTTCGGGTAGATAGATTAGGGCCATGATTTGGTCACCGGCTGCCGAACAAAAAACCTGATGCATGATTTACGAATTCGTTGAGATTTCGACTTCGATTTCGATTTCGTAGCAGATTAAGAATGCGGCATATGAGAGCCGCTCGAGTGGGTCTCAATGTCTCAGTTTCTCAATCCCCGGCCTAAGCTCCACTCGTGCTGCTCCACTCCAGGCGGCATTAGATGGGGATTGCGTACTCAAACAAAAGCCATGCGATGGCGAGCAACAGTTGCAGTTGCTGGCGTGCTATCAGCAACAGTTGCTGCTGTCGGTGAATGCGCTTTGAAGCGTCTCGATTCGATTGCAAATAAGCTCAGCGCAATTACAAATTACATATTTATTCTTTTACACACTACAAATCAATCAGGCAACGACGGACAAATGCCAATGCCAATGCAATGACTGTTAGAGCCCTGCTAAACGTCTGCCGGCCCCCGCAACCGCCCCTGCCCCTGCCCCTGCCACAGGCCCTAGCCCGTCGCAACCCTTGCGCTCAGCTGGGCTTATCGCAGGGCTATAAATCAGAAGGCTATCTAAACTTTAGACTCTTTTTTCTTTTCTTTTTTTTTTTTGCTGATAAATGACATTTAATTGGTGGTCGCTGGCAGCCGCTGTCCCAGCACGTTTTCACTTTTCAAATCCCCCCCCAAAAAAAAAATAAGAAAATTATATCTATATATATTCATGTCCGACTCGGTCAGATTTTAAATTGCAAAATCAAGACGAAAATTATTTTTTCATTTCAATATTATCTCTCGAGTTATTGCAGAGTTCCTGTTTGGTTTGTTTTATGATACGCGGTAGAAGCTTCTTTATTTGCTTAAATATTTTTGTGATTTTTTCGCTAGAACTTATCGATAACCAGAGCTATAGAGAAATATAAAACGCAATTGCGCCTATATAATGATATAGAGAGCACAATTTCCCTTTATTGACCAACATAAAAAACCTTATCGAGTGCACTCAAAATATCATTTGATACATTCCACTCTCTAGTCTCCGCCTACCTTAAGCATAGCTGCCCAGTTCAGTTGGTTAGCATATCTGACTCTTTTTTTTTTTTGGGAAGTTGGCGGATTACAAGGTGTGGCAATTGATGCCAGTTAATTTCGTATATTACGTACTGCTCAGGGTCCAATTTTAGCTGGGGCTGTAAACTGTCTGTGAGCTCATATCACAGCCATAAGCTGATATCGACTGGTAGCGTTTATGAGACTCAAATGCGATATCAATATCCTACAAAAATCGCAGTACCTCATACTGAATGCTGAAATAAAACCACAGTTGCTGAGTCAAGTTGGCAGCGGTCTAACGAAATGGCGCAGACCTCAAGAACTCTTGGGTATATTAAGATAGAAGATATAGAGGATAATCGCCTAAAACATGTCATCCTACATATGATATATTTTAATTTTAGTTAGGATATGTACGAAAACTTCTTTGGCTCTTTAAAAAGATTTTACTGATAATATATCCCATAATATTATATGATCTAAAATGCTACAAAATAATATGGGACATAGCTTTTTAAAATAATGTCATCAGTTTATATCGAATAGAATCGATGGACAAGATATTAAGTTAACACGTAACTCTCTGGTCTTATATAAAACATTACAAACGTATCTTTAATATATTAAATATTGATTATAAAATTAAGTACTAAGAAGTATAATATAATAGCTTTCAGAGCGATCCTAATTATTTGAAGTATAGATTGTAAGGTAGAGCAGATTATTTGAAGCAAAGGATTCGTGCAACTTCTTCGACGCATTGGATAATCTTTTGTATACTTGCGATATTTACATATTTATTTGGCAATCTGATTTTTGGTTTTC